GAGCTCGAGCACTTGACAATCTGACGGGCAGGAAGTCATTGTCTCTTATCGTACAATGGCAAAGTACGCACGGAAATGGGACCAAATTTGAACGCGTATTCTTCTCCGTGATATCTGGGTTCGAATACCGGTAAGAGACGTTGGATGAGTTGCCCACCTGGTAGCTAGATTCTTTGCAAGGACGAGAGTTTTTTTGAAGACCATTGATAGCTAGCGCTAATCTGGAGCCTTGAAGTTGGTTTTCTTTGGTTGATAGCGTGGCATCTGACGTTATCACCGAGGTCAGGTTTGCTCCTGACGCTCATCCGAGTCCACGGAAGATATGTCCCTCCCACCCGAGTTGTATCGTCCAATTGCAGAGGTCGGTTGATGATACGTTCGAATTCTAGGAGACGAAGAGGCACATGTAGAAGGGATCTTCGAGTCGGTGGGCTTTCGGATGTTTATTATTATATGCTCAATGGCTATGATAATGAGGGTCGTTGAAACTGGCAAAACTTACCAGGAGAAATTCTAATACCACTCCCCGGGAATCGAACCCAGACCTTGCCCCGTAATCGATGTCCGGAGCACACGGAGGCGCCGAACTGGGTAGGTATTGACCGTTGTACTAAGAGAGGTGATTGTCACTAATCCTGAATGACGGATGTCTCCGAAAGACAAACCAAATTCTGACCACAGAGAGTGCCGATGGATTAAAACATGCGATTTGGTATAGAAATGTGAATATGGTTCCTGCGAGTTGGGAGAAAATTTCGGGCATTGGGTATTGCTTCGATATGCACCATGTTGGCCATCACGATCCTCGCGGAGGAATCGAGGTAATCGCCCCCTCAACGCACAGGCTTAAATGTTATCGGCTCGTGTTACAACATGAACTTACGATCCGTTTGGCCCGTGGTCAAGAATACTCCTGTCATATTGCGATAAGCCTTTCCCCTTCCTTCTGCGGCAAGGCTACGTACCTCTGACGGCTGGAGTTAGGGGAAAAAACACCTCACTATCTGGACGCCTCTCGCTGGGATTCGAACCCAGACCCTGCCCAATCTCCGACATATGCACCCAGAGCACAATATCGCGTGACGAAGCGGCGGTACTAACCATTGTACTACGAGAGATGGTTATCTTCTGTGTTGGCTATTGTGTAGATCTTTAAAAGGGCGGATGTGCTTGCACTAACTCCTTGAAAGATTCAATTAAGCAGAGATTACATATCCCCGAGTAAATTTGCATACATTATTGAGATATTTGAACGAAGTGTTGGTGAGTACAAACCTGATCTGAGAACGCGGCATCGTGGCAAACGAATAGCCAGAGCAACAGGGTGGAGTCCCACGGTTGGTATTTCTATCTCTAACCACCATATCAACCAATTTGCCTCACCTCCTGTCCAGGACAAGAGTAGGCTCCCATCCTTCATCACCATCACGATCAAAGAGAAAGGTAAGTATAGATTACTATAATACAAAAGAAAATAGTCCGAGACATCCAACCATGCGCCGTACCGATTCTCTCGAGGCCTCCACGTACGTCTAGATCTTACAAGAAAAGGTTCAATATATTCCAGGGATTATCCAATAGGGAACCTCCTTCTCCCAACGTTCCCATGCATCGCCGAACGCCTCTCTCAACATCTTGTCTTCTCTCTGCATCTTCGGTCTTAGCCCTAGGACCATGACTGACGTGAAGAAAATCCAGGATGTCCATACAACCCAATCGGTACCGAAGGTAAGAGGCAGCCACCTTCTTATCATATGTCCCACCAATGAATCCGATGATAGATGGTACATCGACGCACCGACTCCAGCGAAGACGGCTGCTGCATAGCTGGGATGCCGAACATAGGCGTATGGACCGATCGTTACGAGTTTATGATCTTGATGGATACTCAACTCGGGCGTGAAGTGACGGCCGAGTATCCAATAACATCCTAAGAGGACAAATGCGCCAAATAGGTTTAAGGTCCAACCTAAGAACCAAAGCGATAGGAGTTGGATCGAGGTTGATGAGGATGTGGAAGAGGAGGACGAGAAGTCGGCTTTGACAATCCAAAATGTTTCTGTGAGTGCAATTCCCAAGGATAATGCCTGATTTACTGTCAATACGCAGAGTTGATTCTGAAATTCTGCACGAACCTTCAGAACCACTGGTAGAATATGCGATACGGGGTCACGTTCCCCTCGCAAAACTTTCTCTGATGTTGGTG